ATATACATGGATGACTGGAAAGTATATCGATACCTGCCTGCATAATATCGTCGTTCACAAGAGACATTTTGTGGACCTCACCACGGAAGTACACATCAGTAATATAGAAGCAATGTAGTCGAGCCTAAAATAATTTTCGCGACCTTATTATGACTCTACAGGTTGACTATTATGGAGTCACATGGATGAGTTCCTGTATCTCATACATTACTATTTCAGAAAGTACAGAGCCTCTTTCTAACCTTGAAAGGTTTTTAAACTATATCAAAGTAGTGCATCCCTTATTATTTTTTGGTTTTGTGTAAAACATTCTTACGCTACACTGAATGTTTTCCGATTGGCTGGAAATTTCTAAGTCACTTCAGATCCGTTCAAAGGTCGTCCATAAATGATAGTCTCTCCATAGAAGTGTTACATAATTCTTCTAAATACATAGACTAGGGTTGATCACTTGAATCACCATAGATTATGTTACATACAAGAAACGGAATTAAACCCAGATGGGGAATGGCTAAAGTATGTGACAAATCATTCGAAATGATTTGCTTTTATGTAACAGATGACAACTTTTAACCAATTGTGATAAAAACGGTGGCGCCTGTTGATTGTGTTTAATCCTTTCCTAACTAGCCAGGGAGTTGTTCAGTGATCTCATTGGCTAAGTTGCCTAGTGGTACAATGATAGGAACTTTTACAAAATGACAATTCTTCATAAATCAATTTATATATTTCTACTCCTCGTTTAAACTTTCGGGCATTAAATTATATCTTCTTAAAGATAAATTCTTTCACATCAATTAAAGAACCATTAAAATACAGATACTTTTGGGTTACAATTCCGATCTGGTTGGTTAGAATACCTCAAAATAATGGTTAGTGACTTATCTTATACGGTAGATCAGTTACGATTTAATCTTGTTTAAGAATCATTTGTCAAATAGTAGTTAGTATCATCATATCCACGATAGAAATCTAACAATAATGATTAAATTACATAGTAAATAATAGCTTATTATGTTTTGTTTTTTAGCATATGGAACATGATCACAAAACTGATTATTCCATAAATTAAAATATCGACTATACATATTATACCGTGCAGTGAACATTGTTTAACCATGCATCCTTTTAATCTAATATACTAATCTTACTCTTCAATTCACTCCCTACTTAATATATCCATCCAATTTTAATTTACAGGAATATATATATTACTTAGTGGTTGTTCAAAATAATGGAAAATGGTCACGCGACATCGTGAATTGTTTGAAGTTAGTCATAGGTAAAGATGGTATAGATGGCAAGCAATAGCGCGCAAAACCGAAGGTGCTGGGTTCGGATCCCGTTTGAAGGGTCGCGAATGGGCACTTCTGAGCAGTGCCATACTAGGATGAAACGGCCGTCCAGTGCTTTCAGGTTTTCAATAGTAGCATAGTATTGATCAATTCATGATTGTAATGAAAAGCATATTAGTTTGAATATTAAATGGTTGTCTATCCTTATATATTTTCACTAGAAATGTGAACTAAACAAAAGATTAATAGACTATTCGCAATTTAACGTTTTCGCCTATGAATGATAAAATGATACATAATGGTAGTAAGAAGCATTATAGATTCAAAATTGGTTCAAAAATATAACTATTAACATTTTTCATTGCATTCAGCCTGCCACATGACATACAATATTTTCATCTTTGATATAGAATTATCAAGTATTTCCGATACCTTGGCCAAATGACTTTACTTATTCAAATACGACTTAAAACCTGATATAAATGTATATGTTTATTGGACTTCTCATAAAGATAAGAAATTAACGGGATGTAAAAGCTAATGAGTCTAATTGATAATATTACTAGTAACGGCAAGCCAACAATGTGAATTTTTGGAAATTTAGGAACGAAATCAAGGAAAGAAGAATTTTCATCTACGTTATTACAACTGAATTATGATCATCTCATATTACCGGTTGTAGTCATCGAACAAAATCTAACTAAGATGTTTTGACTCCATGAAACGGATCAGATCAATGAAAAATAACTTTGAGTACTAATATTATACATAGATTCAAGTGTCTTTAACTTCTTCTTATCCTACTTCTATGCTTACTAGTATGTTGTTTGAGTTAATAAACTCCTTGATTGATGAAAGTATTCAACTTCATTAAACAACTTGAGATTTCTACATAAAACCCTAATTTAGCTTCAGAATAATTCATTTGGTGTTTCCATTATACTGAAATAACATTTCGAAGACAAAAATGATCAAGTACATACTTTCTACCTTCACAGACCATACTTTACCGTCGTAAATTAATCCTAAAATAAATGATTTATCAGAACATATAAAAATATCTCACTTTCTTAAATAAAATTGTTTTTAAAAAGAGCAAGAACAAACATTCTAGCAGAATAGCATGAATTCATTTTTATTTCGTTGGTTCTCGTCATGCTATTCTGCTAGAATGTTTGTTCTTGCTCTTTTCAAAATGATAAAGGGAACTATGTGTATAAAATTGTTTTTGTTGTATTCTTTTATTCTTACATAAATAAATGTATAAATATATGACTACCTATTTTAAATGATCATTACCCTTTAATTAACTCTTTACTACTAATTGCATAACAATCTGTTGTAACTTTCAAATTGATATAGGTCGGTTATTATTTTTTATTTATGATAGTTTTCTTCATAAATAATCATTTTGTGTGAATAATTTTCAAACCGTTTAAAAATCTCCATCATGTGTGAACGGAGAATATATTGTCTATATAGCAGTAGGCATTAAGATTCTTAAACAACTGAAGTTTTGTGTACAAAAGAAACGTGACTAGCCACTTCTTTCACGTTGACCAACCTTAAAAGGCAGCAAGTTGACAGTCATATTAATTTTATAAGATGACCTTATTTAACAAATGTGTGCCTAACCTTATCTTTCGATTTTTTAAACTTAAGATATTATTGATTGAAATCATGAATAGATCAATGTTAGACCACTATTGAAAAACTGAAAGCATTAAATGGCCGTCTTAGCTTAGTATGGGACTCCTCGGTAGTGTGAAACCACAATCTCTTACGCGGGACCCGAGCCCAGGACCTTAGGCTTCGTGTACAAACCCTTAACCTCCATACCACTGAGCTACCACCTAATTGGTGTCCACTTCACCAATCCTCGAAATAGCCGTCCAGTGTTCCCAGGTTTTCAATGGTGGTCTAACATTGATCGATCCATGATCTCAATCAAAAACTCAACAATCTTCACAACCCCATACTGATAGTTAAGATATTATCATTATTACTATAATCATTAACATATCTTTGTATTACTGTTATTATCACTAATCATCATCTAAATACATGACGAATTTAATTGGCACTCAGCCCATTGTATTGTTATTACTGATCAAATTCATACATTGTATAATCTTTGATCAAACATTAAATCTGATTTGTAATTACACAAGTAATTCACTTACATCATGTTATTTAATAATTATACTGATCATTAATTTCATAATCTTATTTTAAGCATACACTTATTCAAGCTAACACTGTACTAGTCACTTCAACATAAACAGTTTTGATTTGATTTTACAAACAGTCCTCAATTCATACACTCTAATTTTGGACCTTGTTAGTAAAGACGCTAACCAGGAGTAAGTCAGTAAGTAATTTTGAACAATGTATTTACTGTAAACTTGATCATTCTATTTGATTATTAATCTGCATTCGTAAGTGGAATATCGAACATAAGGAAAACTGATTAAAAAGAGTGATATATATATATATATACTTTAACTTTTATTTGATTAACGAAATACAAACAAAACATTCGATGTATGTAGACCGCTACACCAATTCTCTATACGATAACATGCTTATGCAATTCCGAAGACTGCTATCTGAAGTTTGTGTTGATGATTTCGTTCAGAAGAACAATGAAAGCTTCACGACCAAACCATCCAGCTCAGAGAACAAAACTTCATCAAAATCATCTACCTGAGCTGCAAATTGTCTCCACCATCTCAATTCTAAAAACACTGATTTTTCACACTATATAATGAGCATATAAACACCTAGGTAACTTTTATAATTATTACAATTACCTATTCTTGTCCGTGATTGTTGATCATTATAAACTTTAACGTGTGGAATTATGAAATTCCATACGTTATAGTTAAGCAATTTATGCAAACATTTCACTAACAATATACATTTACTTGTCTTTTTTTATTTTTATTTTTGCATGCAAAAAATTCTGAACTCCAAATGGGATAGTCTTTTTAATTCATTTTATTATGAAGAAATCCATCTCATATATATATTGAATATTTGAAATTATCGACTTCATTGATAATGTTAATAATAAGGTGAATCTATTTATCACATATAGACGGTATATGAACGAATATATATTGTGAGTGTAATATACATAAAATACATGGAGATAGATACACGTAACACAAATATATTTATATATATTCACACACAAACACACACACACACACGTTATTTTATCTCCATATTATAGAAATTTGTCCCAATTACAAATAATGTGCTTTGTCATAATATAAATGCGTGGGTGTGAGTGAATTAAATAATTTTCTAAACTAGAATTTGAGTTTTTATCATAGTCCTTAATAAATGTTATTTACCTATAAAAATGGTTGGTTAATAAATATTATGTAAATGATAAAGCCTATCAATTTAATGAGATCATCATTATTGTCTAGAGTTTTATTCATCTATCTAATTACATGTGAATCAGTTGTCTTGACCTTCGACCATATGTATATATATATAGATAGATAGATATAGATATTTAAATAATTTTATAATGCAATGTAATTGACTTATGCAATAATTAACTGTCATATTTTCATACACAGTGCTGTTCAAAAGATCATCTACTTTATTACGAATTAAGTTTGTGAAAGAAAAAAATAGAATTAATTTTCAACTACAAAATAGAAGGTGAAAAGTGGAACGTTATACATTATGAGGAATAACTTGATCAAAATATTTCAATTATTTACAATTATGGAAATTTTCATTTATTTAAATATGTATCAAACAGTAGTATATAGTAAGTTATACTTTGTTCACATTTATATTATATATTTTTGTAATATGGTAAAGCTGATATATGCCTCAGATTGACCCTTAGACCTTTTTTGATCAATTAATAGATAGCTAGGATAAATGAATGAGTTATTAGTTCAGGATTGGGACTTAGGATATAACTGATGCTAGTTGGTGATAAAAACCCATATTCTAATTTCTAACCCTATTTTGATTAATGTACTGTGATGTTGAAGTGATTCATACATTCACCATCTACTCGACTGTATATTTCAGTTTCACAAAACTCATAAACACCTTCAAGGTATGTATTTTGGCTTAGGATATAACTGATGCTAGTCGGTGATAAAAACCCATATTCTAATTTCTACCCCTATTTTGATTAATGTACTGTGATGTTGAAGTGATTCATACATTCACCATCTACTCGACTGTATATTTCAGCTTCACAAAACTCATGAACTTCTTCAAGGTATGTATTTTGGCTTTAAAGCAATTCACACTAGTAATTCATTTTCTGATAATTTACTATACTTATGCCTGCTTCGGTTCGGGCACCCGGGTAATATCCCTGCCCTCACACAAATCGAGTTATTCATGTGGCGCATATCTATTTGCTGCCGCTTTGTACCAATGTTCATGTGTTTGGATAAATAAATAATATTCTACTTATGAGTTAAACAATTAGATAGCTAGGGATAGACAGTTACAAGCAGAAATAAGTGGGACACCAAGAAATGACAGTAGAAAAAGCTTCAAGAGAAGAACATTCCAGACAAATATATGATACAACGAAGAAACTGGTAGGGAAATATAGTAAACCAAAAAGATCATTCAGAAACAAAGAGGGCCAATTAATCGCTGAGATTCAAGAACAGCGGAACAAGCGGGCAGATCACTTTGAAGAACTCTTGAATAGACCATCCCCAGTGACCCCCCCATATATCGAAACAGCACACAAAAACCTCCCAATACATCACACTTCATAAACAGTCGAAGCAGACAGGATGGCCATCAGACAAATCAACAGTGGGAACGTAGTAGGACCAAACAACGCACCAACTCAAGTACTGAAGCCAAGCATTGAAGTAATTGTGAAGATGCTCTATTCAGGAAGATTTGGGAGGAGGAACAAGTTCCGACATGATGGAAATAAACATACTCCACCAAGATACTTAATAAAGGAGATCTGAGCAAATGCGAGGACTTTAGAAACATCACACTACTATCGGTACCAGGAAGAGTTCTCAACAGAGTGTTGTTAAACCGTACGGGAGATTCAGTATACACCGAAGTTCAATATCAACAGGCTGGATTCCGTAAGGATCGGTCATGCACAGACCAAATCGTGACACTACGGATCATCACTGAACAATCATTTGAGTGAAACTCGTCACTATACATCAACTTCCTCGACTATGAAAAAGCTTTTGACTATGCGGATAGGAGAACATTATGGGACCTTCTTCGACACTACGATGTGAGTAGCTGAGAAGATTGTCAACATCATACAGAATTTACACGACGGACTACGTTGCAAAGTTATGAGTAGAAGGCAGCTGACAGACGCTTTTCAAGTGGAGACAGTTGTCAGGCAAAGTTACTTACTCTCTCTCCTTCCCTTTCTTCTGGTAATTGACTCAATTGTGAAGGCCTTCACATATCAGGGGAAGCATGGAATACAATGAACAGCTTAGATTCAACTAGACGATATGAACTTTGCAGATGAGCTAGCTCTTCTATCCCATACACATCAGCGAATGCAGGGTAATACAATCAGTAGGCCTCATCATACACAAGGGAAAAAGCAAAATCCTCAAATACAACATAGAGAACACTAGTACAATCACACTTGATGGAGAAGTCCTGGAAAAAGTGGAGTCTTTCATGTACTTGAGCAGCGTCATTGATGAATCAGGAGGATCTGATACAAACGTAAAGGCGAGGATTGGCAAAGCAAGGACAGCATTCCTATAGTCACAGAATATATGGAACTCAGAGCAACTGTCTGCAAGACAATACCAAAATCAGAATCTTCAATACGAACTTCAAGACAGTTCTACTGTATGGAGCTGTAACCTGGAGAACTACTACTCGTTGTCCGTTGGTCGAATGGCATCAGCAACAGCCTATTGTAGGAGGGAATAAACCAGCTCCCGACTGAAGAGGAAGTTGGAAAAAGGCGCTGTAGGCAGATAGGACCATCACACGGCATCACGAAGCCAGTTCCAACTTGATATGCTGAAGGGAAACGAAAAAAAAGGAAAACAAAGAACACACTGCGCTGTGGATTGGAAGCAGGCATAAAAAGGATGAATAGCAACTAGGAACAACTGGAAAGGATTGTTCAAGAGAGGGTTGGATGGATAATGCTGGTTGTCGGCCTGTGCTAGTCCACGAGGAGTAGCAGGAATAAGTAAGTTATGTCTCAAAAGGTAAAACGATTCGAGTTATCAATCTTAATCTTTGTGTTTAAAAAAAAACATCTGCAATATCTTTGTCCTTAACTTGACTAAAGAAAAGTTGATGGACGATATTATCAGTTCTTTCTACTCATTGTTTCTTTGCTGTATGTGTCATTGAAGTGAATTCCCACATATTTCACAATTCTTGGTTTCGAATGCTTATTATATTCTATACTTTAAAACGTTTTACTTATGACTCAACTTTCATTTATTTCGATATCGACCATCATATGTAAAATTACCTATAAAGTACAATTATACAACTTAGATAAATGACATTGTTGAAAAAGAAAATTTTTGTAGCTAAAATGTTTGAATTCTGTTGAATGACTCAATGGGTTTATTTAGTCAAGTACCATTTTAATGGGTTTATTTATTCAAGCTTTAACCTATATTCTATATCAATCTATCTGTTTATTATTTCTTTACTACTATAACTGTTAACTTACTATCATGTTGTACGTTTTCTTCATTTACTTATATAATCTTTATTCATTGTTGTCCATGACCCACAAATAGATTGATTACTCGGATGTTCTTCATATATATATATACAAATATAATCACTGTCTATCAGAGTGAATCCTGATGATTATCTATTTGAAAACGATATGTCCTTTAAATAAATTCAGTTTTATTCAATTACTCGCTAAAATTGTTGTATTTCAATAAGATGTTTTCATTTTAATCTATTGTTTATATTTATATAATTTTTAATATTGAATTATCATTGACTCAGTAGTTATGCTGAAATCAATTGTGGTTAAGTAATAATTAATCACAGAAACAAATTGATACCATTACTTCAGTTCGTAAGCTCACACAATCCAATATAAATATATAAAAAAATTTAAACAAAACATTCTTAGATTGTGTTCACTGTGATTCTGAAGTTGTCATACCCTTATACTGTCTTCATAAAATCCTTCACTATCAAAGACTGTATGGTATGTACATGCTTGGATATATTTTAACATAACAATAGTAATTTACATTTTATAGATACCCTTATAAGAATATATTTGACACTAATATTTAATATTCGTTATTGTGTAGATAAACTATTGAAGGATTTGCGAAATTCTTTGTACTGGATTCGTTATTCATAGACAGAAATATCAAAACAGTATCCAACTTTTTGCTAAACTGGATCAATTTGAGGTGTTACATTTTGCTGCGGTTCAAAAAGGTAGCATCAATATGACTGAAAAGAAATATGATGTATGGAGTATATATTAATCAGGAAACTGATACAACAAACGTGATTCAAGAAAACATGATATAATCATTTCATCTTTCCCACTATAGTTGGTTTGAAGGTGGCATTAATTAGGTTGATCATTTGGTTTTTAAATCTTGACGACCCCAGTTAAATAGCACAGACTATGGTGTACGCGTGTGAATGTTTCGATAATCAATCAATGGTTGATTAACCTCATATGTTTTTCAACCCAGCTAATTTAACTTACAGGTGCCCATATGCAGATTATCTAACTGGAATTTAGGTTTAAATAGGGTTTATAGTTGAACAATATGCATCCATGTGTAACTATTTGATGTTATATTTGTTTAGCTTATTTATTAAAAAAACACTGCTCAACTAAATGACTAGGAATTTAAATTCGCTGCAGGTTCCAATCTCATTTCTCATTTATACGTACTCTAAAGTGAATTTTTTGAGAAAAACGAAATTTCACCCGTTAATTATCAAAATAAAATGTTTGTATCATGTTCATTTCTGTTTAAATGAATAATTATGTATAATATTACTCATGGCCTTGACAAATTTGCCTACCTTTTCTAGCTAAGCCGATAGAAACATATGCAAAAGATGATGTGAACTTTTCAAAGCCATGTCCTGAAGAAAACTACAGATATCATAATGGTGTGTTATTATTTTAATTTCTTTTCCATATTTTATATAAATACATTTAAAACATTTTCACGCTCATATACTCAAACAATAAATGAAACTGAACAAAATCGTGGATCGTGATAATCAGTGTTGATTGAATGGCTCAAATGTTCCACTATCGAACGTGCTTCGACCTTGGTTTAAGCTAAATTTTTGATTAAGGCATCTTAATAGAATCTTAAACGCTGGAAGTGATTTACCACCGGAGAATCGCGTGATCATTCTATTCATTTTCAAAATGGTCTGTGAAATAGTTATTCACTGGGGCATTAATCTGCCATAACATGCTTCATCACTAGTGACTCTTCTCTGCATTACGTGTCTTTTGAGAAACTTAAAAGGATAACTCTAGAAAGAAATTTAAGCGATACGCTTTATGAGTGAACACCTAGACACCGACTTTCTAACCGCTTCCAAGTCCCCGGGATTCTTTAGCTATCGAATCCAGAAATAGAAATCAAAAAGGCGTGAAGCATGAAAACACTCCTTAAGAGCTTATTTAGCATACATAGAACTAGAGTATTTATCGTTTACCTATAACCTTGAGGTCTTAGAAATTTTCGGAAACATGATAAAATTAGTGAAAAGATCAGTGAATATCTAATCAGGATGTGATATATGATCTGTCTTTTCCCAAAATGTTCTTGGAGGGTTCTAAACAAAACTGATTGTAATTTAATAGTCGAAATCATGAATCAATTGAAGCTAGACCACCATAGAAAACCTGGATGCACTGGACGGCCGTTTCTTCCTAGTACAGGACTCTTCAGCAGTATGCATCCACAATACCGTCCGTGGGATTCTAACCTAGAACTTTCGGTCTGATTGTATTAAGTATATTCACTGAGGACTTCTGACACTAAGCTTCGCCATAACCGTGGACACACTATTCAGATCTTGATGTTCTGTAAAATGATTAAATCTCGCTACAAGTTTTACAGTTGGTTATCACTATATTACTTAACAGCGATGTTACCTTCTACTGAAGCGTTTTATGATGATGTAGCCCATCCAAGTTGTCTTTACAAACATCATACTAGACGACTAAAAATTCTACCCCAGATTGGAGAATATTCAGTAGTTTTTTTAAAAGGATGAAATGGATAGCTTCAGTGACTTGGTTTCTTTCCGGAACTCTAGTCTATTACGTGAGTTGATAGTCACCAGAAGAAAGTATGAGACAATTTAGTCGAAGTTTGTTTAGCCATTAACTATCTTATTTGTCTTACTAAATACTCTACTAAGAATTTTTTGAAGATCATGCATAGGAGTGTGAACAGATTAAAGGATTGTTTCATTAACACCAAGATACTTCCCGCTTGTGGTTGAAATGAGTACGATTATCTCTTGATAGTCACTAGATGAGATACATGCTTTCGATCCAGGAGTATGCTCTGATCATCACATTTGATGGTCGTTAAATCATGGTTTGTTACTAGAAAACAACCACGTATATCTCTCAAATATGTCACTAATAACCACCGTTTTAATATGATAACTCTGAGAAACGGTTTCACCGTTTTAACATACCTTGTGATTGTACATCTATGACTCTCTGGGAGAGTCAAATCATTTCCTTCAGTTAATTTCAGTAAGTTGTCCAGTCACTTTTTTAATGAAATTCAAAAATAAACAAATATCTATATGCACTTATTTACATCGTGCTTTTATTTACTTTTTAGCTACTGGATATTTTATGTGCACTGTTGAAACAGCCAAAAAATGCATTGACTTATGTCAACAAACAGGATGCAATGATTTATATTTTATGAGTGTGATCCCTTCGAAAAATGATAAAATCAAACGAAACTATCGTTGTCGCTGTTTCCAGGATTATCACGTCTGCTTTTATAATCCATTGCCAAGATATCAAAACATTAATTAGTTGACAATAATAATAATAATAATGGTATTGGTAATCGCTACCATTAGTATTATTACTGTTATAAAAAAAAGTGTTTTCCTCCCTAAATCGGTTTGTATTAGTCGATAATTCTAGGAAAATTAATGTAGTGTGTATGTGTAAAAACTGCTTTCAGACTAAATTTAGATATTATTTTATTGGGATTCAACGTATATAAAGGAAACAAAGATCTGTACATTTGAATGGTTGCATCACATCATGTTCTATATATTCGACTGCGTGTGCATTTTTTGCGTACCACTATTGTTTGTTTTAAAAAAAAACAATTTGTATGTTTAACTATCTTCCCCCCCATTTTAACTGAAAAACCCTACTGGGAGATAATTATCTGTTTATTATAATATATATATATATATAACGGTGTATAAAACCAAGTAAGCCACTTACATAATCGACACTCAGATTATTTTTTTTCTAAAAATAGATTACACAACATAGCATATGAATACTGCTAGTAAAGAAGAATAATATACGTATGTACCCCCAATGTTGTAAGTGTTTGAAATTTATAAATGCATATTTTTGTTTGTAAAGAATCATTATTTTGTTTGTTAATGGCAACGTCATGTTGCACACTATTTGCAAATTAAGAAAATGTTTCGGCCCTAAGAATAAAACTTAAATCAGGACAAATGATAAAATGGTGCTATATGCGATTTTATTGTGAAGTTTCCCCTCATTTCTCTCTCTTCCCCTTTCTCATTGTAACTGTTCTTAAAGTATTGAAAGCATACCATTCAGTATAGCTGAGCGAATTGAAACGATAAATGGCAACCGTATAATTTATTCATATAATCGATTGAGATAAAAAAAATTCATTCAACCGTTTTCTTCATTTACTTCATCCCCGTATACTTATTATTTTTATTAGTGTATAACTGCTGTAGTTATGGCGGATATTGCTTTTTTTTAAAAAAAAAATATGTCTACAATATTATTCAGAACCGTTTATTTGATGTGTATATCTATATCACATTGTATTGTATTAAGATAATAAATAGCATCTCAAACTACTAGTTTTTGGATGTTTTGGGAATTTAAGGATGGAAACTAACGGTTCTCTATGGGGTGTAGACCAACCAATAAGTAATATATAGTTTCATGAATAGCTTTCTATTCTCGCAAAATATGCAACAACATTACGTGAGCATCCAGAAAGAAACCCTGTTAATAAATAGGTTTCATAAAATGGGTCAATTGACCTGCATTATGGACAACTGAATCCTTTGTTTGAACCCACCTTAGGCTATTCACCAAGTTGCACTTGAAAGATCGACCTATTTGGGTATCTTCATCTAACTGGGAGTCAGTAGTTCCATAGAAGTTTGTACACAGAATGTTGGTTTGATGATTTCCGATAAAAAGTCGTTATACGTTATAGTCTCACAATACGTGTGTATATTAGTGGCGAAAATTATTTTCGGATGAACAAACGAGAAAATTTACAGCCACGTTGATGCGTTTCGTTTGTCAAAGTTAGAAAAAATTTTTGTCAGTACGTCACTAGACATGCGTAAAGAGAAACCTTGTTAATCTACGTTATGATTCATTCCATTGTTTCCGAGAAATTTATTTAAAATATCAATGATTATAAACGATTGTAAAGTGGAAATCAATTTCAAAGTAACTTACATATAGAGATTATTTAGTTGACACAGTCAAGAAGCTTGGTTTTGTATCCGCTTCCCACTCATCTACAAGATGTATTTGTTCTTTTGAAAATGTAATGGAAATATTATGTAATTATATTTTGTGGGTGAAGTTTTGCTCCTTACAAGTTTTAGTTAATCTTTCACTTCACTGATATCCAGCCGCTTCGAAAAATGTCTTATGAAGTAGGTTTCGACTGAACTGTTATAACAAGTTTAAAATAATGTATGGGATTTTATGTAATTTTGTGGTTTAAAGAATCTTTGCTGTTTGTGGGTTTGTGTTGAATTTCTTTAGTCTAGGTATATGCTGTCGGCCACTGCATCGTGTGTTATATGCGTACACTAAGGAACGTAATCAGAAGTCTATGACGACTTACATTCCCCACCCATACTTACATAGTTTTCTTCTCTATACTGGTAACGATGTGTATTATTGTTTGTTAATTAATAAGCTTTGTAATTAAAAAATCTATTGCCAACTTGCGTCATTTATGGCGTAGGCGAGACATCCGTCTGTCAACCAAAGGACCAGTTTACCACGCAGCAGTTCGTTCCGTCCTACTTTATGGCAGTGAAACATGGCCGGTAAGAGTAGAGGATATTCATATGTTACTAGTATTTGATCATAGGTATCTTCGAAACATTGCTTGTGTATCCTGGGACCATTGAGTAAGTAACGCAGTTGTTAAGAAACGAGTACTAGGTAAGGATGGTAAATCAATTGATGAAGTAGTGAAACTCCATCAGTTGAGATGGCTGGGACACGTGTTACGTATTCCCAACAACCGACTGCCTCGACGTGCGATGTTTTATGGTGTGGGAGTAGATTGGAAGAAAACCAGGGGCGGCCAGACCAAAACATGGCACAAGTCCATGAAGTCACTAACAAGTGGTGTGAGCCATGTTGGTAGGTGTAGACTAATTGGTTGGAGACTGCGAGATAATAGCAACCGATGGTTAGAAACCCTGAATGACATGGCTCAAAATCGTTTGCCATGGAGTAGATGCATGCACTTTTTGTGTTATCCCAAATTCTAATCTTCCGAATTCTTCATGTCCCTTTTTTCCTCTTTCCAAATTTATTTCACTATATTATACTCCTTGAATAACATCTTCAAACCCTAATCTTTTGGATTACTGCTTATACTCTTACCAACTCTACCATTACGAGATTTGAGTCGACAACTGCATCTCTGTGCTATTGTGGTGTGGCAACTCGAACTGATGTACGTACATACGAAGTTCTACGTTGTTACTGACTGACTCTACAACTGCTCACCATTCCCAGACAGTGTGAATGGAACATTGAAGCCGGCCCCTCAACTCTAATCGAAGTTCAAAAAGCTATGGCTAGTCTGAAACGAGGGAGAGCAATTGGTCTACATGGATTGGTTACAGAGGTCCTTAAGGACGGTGATTCAGATATGTCGATTAGGTTGACTAATATTTTAGCTAAATCATATCCAGAAATTTAATTGTTGACCACGTTATGTAGCTCGCTTAATCAGGTTCCGTTCTGTTTATCGAAAAGAACTTCTAGGTTGGCGTTTTGAAACGGATCATATGTTTCAACGGCCTAATTCTCTACCAAATGAAGTATGTATTCATTTATTGTTGGTGAAAATTTATTGAGTTAATTTTTGGGAATTAACATTGTTCACTTCCATCATACTGCCTGGCTCCATGTGCTGGCGTTATTTTATTGTTGAATTTTTGTGGTAGCGTTGCCGAACTCAATGTTTCAACATAACAGTAAATTGTATCGTGTATCGTACAGTTGAGTTCAACTAATAGAAAGCCTATGGTTTACATTCAGTGCTACTTAATACTCGTTATCTGGAAACTTAATCGAAAATTTCCCTTATTGTTTATAACACGAAGTTATTTTGTACAATTGTGCGCTGTGATTGCAAAGTAGGAATGTGATTCAAATATTTTAGCCAAAAAAACACAAAGTTAGGTGTTTATACAAAACAGGAAATACAATTTGAAGTACTTTAGTTCATCTAAAACGCAAAGGTCCACCATATCAGTGTTGAAAATATTGAACTAACTTTAATGTTTTTTCCAACTAAGACCAAAGGTGGGTAACTGAGGCATTTCTATTTTGAATCCCAGTGTCGCTTATCAGTTTGAACCTTGGCGTTTCACCTGTTACGGCGAGAATCCTCTAGGGAAACTTTTCATTTGTGTCAGGCAATTTTTTGCCTGAAGAAAGAATTCTGTAACTTGCACAGGCGGGAACATTCGCCGAAAAGTTCGGAACGTTGTACAGGATAGCTTCCTAAATAATATCCCTCACTAAGTCTCGGTGGTCATGCACTCTTAACTGCCAGCACGCTTGTTGTCATGTAGTTTGATGGAGATGGTTCAAAACGGACATGCTTTCACCCTCAGTGAAGTGAAGTCAGGGATTATTCTCGTTCCTCCGGAGTACATTGTAAGTAACCACGTTAATCATGTCTATGCCACGATCACTATTCCGTACTTGCGTTTGAGCTTGGATATCCTTGGGGGATAAACTGATTGTCTTCTCGAAAACATCGAAAAATATGACTTCATGGCGTCACCCACATGTCCACTCTATCCTGAATGTTGAATGATTGTGAGAAATCGACTATGATATTACCCTGTGGAGGTTCTGTCCTGATTTGTGAGATATAAAACGGAGTGTTTTAGTCCCTGGCTAGGAGTACATAGTCGAACCGGTGGTGCAATGTTTGTGGAGGCACCTGGATTATATTATCTCTCTGGGTGTTAGAAGCTGTGGAAAGTCGGTATGTTCCTACGAATGGGCACCTTGTGCCGTTATTGTTGGAGTAACACCACCATGTTTTTGCCGCCATCGTTGTGTGTGGTATCAATACATTGTATTGTGTGTCTATGTATGTTGTAGCTCCTTCCCCTATTTTGTGTACCCTGTCTAACCAGTGAGGTGTGTTACTTTGAATACACATATCGTTGCCTGAGACGTCAGTGTAGAGATGTTTTTCAGCCAGAACTACCACCAGCAGTTCGAAACAAATACATGCGTTCCTGACATCTCACCTGCTTCTTAGTCACCTTACCTTACAACAGAAGGATTTGATGGTTTTTTGCAACGCCTGACGTACCTCTAGAGTAGCATCTGTCATCTGAGTTAGGAAAAGACTGAGGTTTGAAGTGGGTTGACTTGCCGTAGGAATTGGTCGCTGCAAGCACTTTGGCTGCATGCTGTGCCGCACTGGCGAGACTAAAGCCTCAGTGTCCTGTTTTGTGGATTACAGATCGAGCTCGAATGACAGAGTTGTGTACTCTATTTGACTTTTA